TATTCCATCACACTTCTGACTTGTGCTTCGTAGACCAGCTTTGGGGAGTCAGGAACTGGATTACTTGCTGCAGGATTCCGAGCCTCTGACATGTTATGTTGGTCATCTTATTTATATGGCTAGTCCTAATCTCCAGGATGTTGATAATGGAGGATTCAGCAATGGTAAGGGATTCTCACTTGTTGGAAATGCTCATTGACTGGCACTTCTTTGGCTTGACTTTTACTTTCCATTGGATGTTGACGAGGTTTTCCTGCATTTGTGGCATAGACTGCTTCAGTACCTGAGAGAATTGTAAATGCTGCAGAATATTCTGTCATTCTTATAAAGCATCCACATGTTTGACCTTATGATGGAGGAAAGCTCATTGATGAAACAGCTCAAGACAATTGGACCAAGGATACTACCTTGAGGAACACCTGCACAGGTGCCCTGGTGCTCAGTTGACTGACCTTCAAGGACCACAACATCTTCCTTTCTGTTAGGCATGACTCCAACTAATGGGACATTTTCCCCCGATTCCCATTGATTGCAGGTTTTCTAGGGCTTCTTGATGCCACATTCAATCAAATGTGCCCTTTGGGCAGGCGATGGCCTAGTGGTATTACTGCTGGACTCTTAATCCAGACACCCAGGTAATGTTCTGGGATCCTAGGTTCGAATGAAAATCTGGAATTAAGGGTCTAATAATGACCATGAATCTGTTGTTGATTATTGGAAAATCCCATCTGGTTCACTAATGTCCTTTAGGGAAGGAAACTGCCATCCTCATCTGCTGTGGCCTACCTGTGACTCCAGACCCACAGCAATATGACTGACTCTTATTAGGGATGGGTAATAAATGCTGACCTAGCTGGTGACACCCATATCCCATGAATGAATAAAGAAAAAATAAATTAATGTCACCTACAGTCACTAGCACCTAATTGCTGTAGTCCTGCTCTTTTGTTCACATCTGAACAGGCCTGTACTGAGGTCAGGATCTGATTGTCCACAGCAAAAGCCACACTGTCTGTGAGCAGGTTATTGCTAAATAAGTGTGCTTTATACTGCTGTTGATGACCAAGAGTAATCGAAGCAGTAATTGGCCTGTTTGGATTTGTCCTGCTTTTCATGTACAAGACATACCTGAGCAATTTTCCACATTACTGAGTAGTTGCCAATGTTGTAGCTGTACTTGAACAGCTTGGCTCAGGGCATGGCAAATTCTGGAGCATGTCTCACTACCATTATTGAATGTTGTCAGGGCCCACAGCATTTTACAGTACAGCCCGTGCCTTCAGCTGTTTCTTGATGTCATATGGTGTGATCTTGTAGGCCTGCATACCTGCCTGAGGTGATTGTGGTATACAGTATATAGACCTGCACGATGGGTGAACTGCATTTTTTGGCTGCGATGGAGAGAATCTATGTGTATTGTTTAGAAATGCAATTATAGCTTGACCTTTTGATAACCATCCACAGTCAAAACAAACAACGCATGGAGCAAGATTAGATTAAAAATAAGTCTCAGAATGGAACCAGTCCGGAGTGACAAGTTTGTTAGTGTGCTGACTCCCTGTGACCCAATCATATTGGATATCTCTTTTGAGGTTCTCTATGTGCTGAGCTATCTAAACCCACTTGTGGGGAATGGATGGATCAAGTTTAAATCAAGTTGTCATTGGGTGAATTTTTTTTTGCCTTATGATCCCCTTAGTGGCTGACAATTTTTAGAAAGATATTTGAACTTGGGCCTAACTAGTCCACTTTGGATGTTTACATTCTATGTAACCTTAACCACTCCTTTGCATTCAGTCCTATTTGCACATCCTTCTAATCCTTTCTATTTTTATCTAGCCTCCTTTTCAAAGCCTCCAGGATATTTGCTTCAACTACATACTACATTCCACAACATGACCACTCTGACTAAAATTTCTTTTGAATTTCTGATGCGATTAATTAGTCACTACCCTGTACTTTATGACCTTTGGTTCTGTTCTCCCAGGATGTAAGTATCTTCTCCAAACCTTTCACTGTTCTCTCAAAAAATTCATGAAATTTGTAAAGGTACATTAACAGCTCAAATTTAACATGATATGAAAGTGCAAAGAAGATAGTGAGGCACCAAATGAAACTGTACTTAACATCACAGGTTGCATTTACAATGTGAATTTTAATTTCATGGCAATCATTGTATAAGCATTTAACCCAAGATGTTTTACATGTTTGCAGTCCCTTAGTACACAATGGTAGCGGGACCTTTGAGTCAAGGTGACACGCTTTGACACTTTGCAGGTGCTGACCAAAGCCTTGGTGTATCCGTCAGCACATCATGCTGGATATTATTGTCAGCATGCCACGTATTATTATTCTATGTATGGAAATACCTACTTTTGGGCAGATCAAAGTGAATTGTTCATCAAGTTATGGTCCACAAGCAGTAGTTGAAGTTCACCTCTTTGTGCATCCATGGGACAGCCTATGGAGCACTGATCCTAGTGTTATGCAGCCGCTCAGGATGAGTCTCAACAAAAAAAGCATTGCAGTTCTTCCAGGCATGCACAAAGGCATAGTAGAGAAGAAGGTGGACGGTGGTTCTCTCCGCACCACAGCTTCCTTGAGGAAGAGTGCAGGGGTATTGAGACTCCAGGCAGTGCAGAAAAAACTGGCTTGCGACTGTTTTCAATAAAAGCCAAGCTACATCTTGGGACATGTTTGAAAGTTCAGGTGATGCAGCAGCTGTCATATGACTGCCACAGATTGTTCAGGAAACCATCAATGACAAATGACTACTGTTTCAAATGCTTTAAAGAAAAGTGTTGAACTTGACTCGGAATTTTGTTTGTCCTACTGTCAGCTTTGTTTTGTAATTAATCAAGTTGAAGGTGCCTGTGTTCATCCGTTGATTAGCACTGAAGTTCGATCTCTAGAAGTTAAATTTCATTAGACTTCAAACATCCAAGTTACTTGCACCCATTAAATAATGAATGTGGTTTGGGGAAAAAAGGGTACTTGGGAAGCTTTCCTTATTGTTAAATATGTATTATTATTTGTATAATATTGAAAGATTATTAAAACCTGCATAATAGCAAATACTCATTCAAAATGGCATTAATCTATTTTTATGCCAAATTGATTGTATTTATATTAGATTTTGATAATCCTGGAGTTTTAACCTATTGTGACATTTGTTTGTTTATGCTGGACATGCATTTTTCTGATTAACTTTCGAATGCTTGTGTAAATTCTCATTGGGATCAATGTTTCATAATGTGAATAAACCCTGAGCAGACGGAGAAAAGTTGAAATAACATTGTGATCTTGGGTATGAATTTTTGTAAGTGAGATTTTTGACAGTCAGTCGGCAGTGTGTATATAATTGATTAAATTTTCCTAGGAACAGGTGGAATCTGATCATTACTTGTCTTAAGTAATAGAATGACATTCGCAATTTACCAATCTAACACCACTGTGTCCAAATCTACAGAACCCTTGAAAATTATGACAACACATTTGCAATTACCCTACCTGTTCTTTTTATGAAAAATGTATTATCTAAAATATGAACTTAGAATGTCTGGATATACATCTAGAACTTGCAAAGAAGAGGATAGTGGCTGCAGTGAGGAGAATGCTACATGTGTAAATAACACAAGCTGCTCTGGTAGAGTCAGTAAGACTAGAATACTTTGAGATAGGCCTCAGCACCTAGTTTTTGGGTGTAACGAAGCCGCTGGATTTGAGCACAGTCTGAGAGTGAGAATTTAACTGGAGCAACATCCTTTGCTGTCTTTCTTTAAAACCTATCTCTTCAAAGTTTTTGAGACGTAAACCCACTGCACTGCCTCACCACCACAAATGAAAGGTTCCTACAGGAACAGGCTACATTTCTGCAACCCAAGAGTTCTTGAAGGGGAATCTAGAATCTGCCACCACTGAATTCAGATTAAAAATAATACAGTCATCTTTATCTGATCCAGGAAGAAACCTTAATGCCAGCAGCTTATGGCAAAGTGACTTCAACTACCGCTTAACATTTGGACAATCTGTGAATAATTCCGGTTTTTTTTCCAGAATTTAATTGTTTGCTTGGCCAATGTACTTTTAAGATGACACCCCACAAAGATTTTATATTTTTGCCCAAACTTGAAGGTTGTATGTATATATTATTTTTCAAGGAGGGTAGTTGTATTAATTTTCACAATTTAATTCTTTTGTAATATTTTTTGTACTTTGCTTGGCTAAGTTTTTTTGTTTACAATAGTAATTTCTTTGCTACATAAGCAGCTTTACTGAATTGTTTCTGATCCTGAGCTATCTACGGTCTGTGTATATAATTGGCAAAATCACCTGTGCTTTAAACTCGAACTTTGTTGTGACCACTGGGGGAGACAGACAAGGATCGAAGTCAGTACTCCCCTCCCAACTCTGTCATAACTCTTTTAGTATTGCCTGTCTTAAGCCCTTTTATTTCCTTTTTATATATGTTAATTTCAATGTGTTGTTGCTTTTAACTATTTTTAACTATGTTTACATAGGGGTTCAAGTTTGCCAACTATTAACTCTTCTCGGAAGAATTTTTTGAGTATGCTTTGCAATTTTAGAGTGCAGAGGAAAAATCGAAAAGGCAACACTCGTAAAATTACATTGATACATCAAAACAATATCTCATTCTTTTAAATCATATTTTGCAATGAGAAATTTGGAATAAAGCAACCAAAGTGGGGCGTTCAGTGAGATTATTGGTGATCTGTAAAATCTGTGGAAATTGAAATTGTTAAATTGATACTCTACAAAGTGATGAGCTGCACGTTTCTATGCTTTCTGTGCTCGAGTGCCTGAGTCTTTTTTAGTCTTCATTCAGTATGTTTTTGAATGAGGTATTATCTAAATGTTTCAAATGTGGGTTCTCCCAAAACTATGAATAGCTGAATCCTGGCTGATCACATTTCATAGTGATTTATATGTCTGTCATGTGCCGAATTGCTGAAATGTTTATCTTTAAATTATCTCCTCAGCAATATCTTTGGGTTGCGGCCTGTTGATTATGCGAATTCTGAAGAAATGATAGCAGCCTTACACCAGTCCCCCAAAACTGAGGATCCAGTTGCTGAGCAGTGCTTGGCTGTAAGTATTCAATGATAGGATGTGATCCTTTTGGTGTTTATAGATTTTAGTATCCAATAACTACCTATTCATTATTGTTAATTGTTTTTAAATGACGAAAACATAGTTTATTACTGCAATATTCTATAAAATAAATATTTTAATGGATTCTTAAATGAAAATCTTAGACAACACCAGTACTGAAAGGAGCTAATTTAGTTTCTACAGTCGATTGATGTGCAGTTCTATATACACTGGTAGGCTTTTATTGCACCATCCAACCATGAATACGGGTGGTAGCTGTACGTTATTCAAGCATGTCAGGTGCCACAGATTAACCCAGTCGCTCTTTAAATATCCATGTGCCTTCAGTAGAGATCACTGGATAATGAAGAGGAAAGGATGGGCATCATACTGTCTATTTTCTTTCTAGGTTGTGTGGAGTGATTTGTTGAAGCACTCAACACCTTTTAATATTCATTGCCTGAAAATATAAAGGGGCACCAAATGTCACATTGCTGCAGCTTACAGGGGACATTGGGTGGTGGGGGAGGCCTGGAACACTCTGCCTTAAGGTATGGCAGAGAGTTGCATTTTAAGGAAGATTTTAACATTCTGGGATACACTTCTGGCACAGGAAAGTAGAATTAGGCATAAAAGCTCTCTGTCTGCTGGCACAGATGCAATAGGCTATTCACAGATTTTCTGTGTATTTTCTGTTTCTGTTTCTGTTTGTCATTTATTTCCCTGGCTATTTTTTTCCCTCCTCCCTACTCCTTGGCCCAGATTTTGCAGGCAAGCTAGAACCAGATAGCACCATGTAAACAAGAGTCAAAACCCGGGCTGAAAACAGCATTACACTGTGGAATTTGTGAGTTCTGACTCAAAGTGTTAACTCTGCTTCTCTCTCCACAGTTACTGCCAGTCCTGAGTTTCTTCAGCACTTCCTATTTGTGTTTCAGCATCTGCAGTTTTTTGTTTTTATTACATTATGGAATTACCCACTCAGCTTTTAGAAGTAACTACATTTCTAGCTTATTCATCCAGTTCATTTAAAGCATGATTGGCAATATTACTGACACGGCAGCCAAAGGAGTAGTACTTTTGTAGTCAAATTCTGGAATGTTTATAGTCTTAGAAGTACTTGTCACTCATTCAGTGACTATTTTGCACTGTGAAAGGTTAAGTTAATCCAAGCATTTTGTTATTCTTAAACTAGTAACAGAGGAGGTATCATGGAATGTTGGTTGCAAGTCCACTGTGCTCGATTCCATGGTGTGTTCACATGTTTAATAGTGACGGGTAGATTCTTAATTGTTGAGCATGTCTCTGTACAGATGTTAACCTTAATCAAGACAAACTTATTGCCATGTCCTCCTATCAAATAGGTGACTTCAAACCAGAGAAGAGATGGACCTATTGTGTTACTGGGAGGTGATCTCCTTGGAGCCAAAAAGAAAAAGCTTGACAAATTAGTAAAGCTGTTGAAAGCTGGGAACTGCACTGAATTTAATACCTCGGGTATGTTTCATTACATGGGCATGCCAAATGTTAACACTCGTTGTTTAATTGTACAATACTGTGCTTGGATGGAAATGTCACTGGTTTCTATAGTTTTATGGAAGGAGTTTGGAAATTCAACATAAAATTGAATTGTTATTCGAGTAGTGATGTGTTACATCATTAAATTATTTGAGTTCCACAAACATATAATATAGGAAACGAGATGAACATTGTAATAGCAAAGACTGTAAACTATGCTGCAAAATGAACTTTCATGGAGGTGGTTCATAAGTGAACCATAGATCCGTAACTGCATAAAGTGCTGCCAAGGAAGGAGTTCATTAGTATTTCCAGAGAGAAGCACCTTATAAATAGAAAAGCGATAAACAAATTGCACATAGAAAAGAAAAATGAACAGAAGAGAATAAAAGGACTTGAAGAGAGGGGACAAGGCCAGGTCAGGTTCAGGCATATGACAAGAGAATGATGGGTGGGATACATCCATGCAGTAAACCTCTTGGTACTGAAAGATCTAAAAGTTTAGTGCAAATAAGCCTTATATCTTTTGATAAATTCATACTGTCTTCAGATCACCCAAAACCATGTGTTTTCTTGGAGAGGTGAGAGCAGAGATTAAAAATCCCAACTAGGGTAAAGTTCTGGTTACATTTCTCTGATCCCACCCATGCAGCTGAACAAAACTAATCTCAGAGCTCTCTCTGATCCCTGTGATCCTAAATTACCCCACCTTTTGCAAGAGGTGATCTGCAACCCAGCCAAAAAAGCCAGACCTTGTGTGGTAGAAATAAGAAGAAGTTCTTTGCTTGGTTATAAATTAAAATGTATTATAAGTCTCCTGGATTTATGGAAATGGTAGTTGATGCTACTTTTCAAAGATAATGTTTGCTCAGGATCAATCAAACAGGTCAAGATTGTGTGCCTTGATTTTTATGAGAGGCACCAGGATGAGAAGCATGATTGAACATGGCTGCAGCATGATCAGTCAAGCTGATTGACAAATCGTTCTCAGTCATTCAGAATAGCAAAGGATTCTGCATTAGTGCTGCCGTGATTAATGGAGAAAGTGAACTAGAGCCATTGGTATGTTTGAATATTGAATTGCGGAAATAGTGATTGGCAGAAAAGAATCAGCTGAAAGATTTTGCGTTTATATTATTAGAAGTCAACTTTTTAAAAAGAGAGTGCTATTTTTCACTAATGAAAGATCAAATTCGGGTTCAAAATATGACTATATTAGGAAAGAGAGGAGAGTTAAGTGCAGCATGGGCCCCTAAAAGATGAAGGTAAGGAATGGCAGGCATTAAGTGATTACTTTGCATCAGTATTTATAGTTGAGGCGAAACTATCATGCTGTATGTCCCAAGGAAACTAATATTGAATCATGTATGGATGAAATTAACTGGAATTGACTTAAATCAGTTGGACAAGTGAATGCAGATTCCATCCTTGCATCTTATTTACCTTTATTTCAATGTTACAGTGCAGTAAGCAGAATATAGTCAAACTAGGCATGAGTTCTTCAGACAGTACCCCAAAGCCTTAATAGCCTCAAACATGCCTATATAATCAAATCTCCTGTTTATTTTCATTTGCTCTGTGATTGGCTATAAGTTTGTACATTGCCTAATATGCTGCATCACCTTTTTTATTCCTGTTTGTGCTCACCTCAGCAATTTCACCCTCTCCCACTTTTGGCCTGTGGTAAATGCATTTTTCAAGCTGCTAATTTAATAATTTGCTGAGGTGATCAGAGCCTTCGGTTTCTGCTAATTTAATCGTGCACATGGTATCATCTGCACCAACTGTCCTTTCTGCTCAATTTCAACTTAACTCCTTACTTGCTGTTTCTCAATATTCTTACAAATCTTTTTCTTGTTTCTTGTCTCAGAATATTCTCACCCTTCAACTGAGCTCCCTTTACTGCCTATGTAATTTGTGGCCCCTTGCCCATTCTCCTGATCTTTTCCTGTACAATGCATCAGGCTGTCGTCACTTATCCCCACGGAACTGCCATGTCTAAGGTTATAATTATTAAAATGTCATTATTCAACCGTTCCTAGTTTCCAAACTCCTTAGTCGTGACTTCAGGCTTGTGACATAAGCGTGATATGTTTCAGGGCGGTTTTAATCCTGTAGATTATGAAATTTCAGTGACAATGGGACATGTAATGCCTGCTACGTGGAATGGCTTGCATAACATCTTCTTCCAGTGGCATCATCATTTACAGTCTCATTGCATTAATATGGTGGATGGGAAGTCAGACTTGCATCCAATTTTTATAATTATTCTCACAAGTCCCATGCAAGACATCATCTGAATGATAGGGTTGTGCTCATTGTCTCACCAACTGTTGTTGTTACACAATGCTCCCCTTTACCTTTGCAAAGGTAATATTAATATTAACAGCGCTATTAGTATTAGAGCAAAAGCAAGCAAAACAAAAGAGTAGAGTAAGAACTGAATAATGTGCTTCGGGCACTGTATGTGAAGGGAAAGCCAAAAGAGATAAAGTAACTGAACAAAAAGAAAAAATGCATGTAAAACATTACAAATGGATGACATGTCAGGGGTGCACCTTGTAAGATTCATCTAAATGGCTCAGTGTTGTGGCCAGAGGAAGTATTATTTTTTAAAAATGAGCTACTTCAGATTTCACCTCTAACACATTAGAACCAATATTCAATTTGCTTTGATTTACTTTTTCAAGCCCATTTTTAGGACTTATTGGCTACCATGATGGCCATGTATAGTTTGCTGTCTTTTTGTATTTATGGATTGCCAATTCCTGAATGGTTTATTTTAATTAATCTATAATTTGATTTGCATCTTCCCAGTTACACACCCATAACCACCCCCCTCCACCACTCCCAACCCCCCCACCCCACATCCATGTACGTCCAGTATTATTTGATCACCTAGTGAAAAAATGACTCGTCGGGCAGGGTGGAGGTTCATGAACAGTACTCATGTTTTCTGTTGCCTTGTAACTGTGTGGTCTCAAATGTCTGACGTAAATTATGAAGGAACCATGTGTCTGCAAGATGATGATGGTATTTGACAATCCCATTGAGTAGAATACCTACATCAGCCTCCCTCTGACTGGTATAGCTCTAAAAACCATGACAATGCCTTGTAGGGTCTTTGCCCAATCTGCATAGTCTTGACCCAGATATCTATTCCTTTATTTAGATTGATCTTAAATCCAAACCCCGCTCCCCACAATAGAAACACAACCTGCTCCAAGAGGAGGTAACAGTCTTCAGTGGACTCTGTCTGTAGTAATGGATATTGAATTGCATTGGGTTGTAAACAGGACCTTGTCTGCCATTCACTGCTGGAACAGGAAGGACAGGAGGGTGAGCATGACCATCTTTTTGCATCAGATGTTCATTAGCAAAGCTAAAGGGGAAGATCTAAGCTGAGGTTAGAAACAAAAATTGATGGCAGGCATCCTGAAATGGATTCAAGTGATGCCACAAAAATTGCAGGTCAGAACATTCCTGATAAGATGACTTGGAGTTATGAAAGCCCGTGCCCAGTGACTCAGTGGTGTGCTGTGTGCAGTTCTTTGCCTCAGTATTGCTGTCATTTTGAATGACTAAATCCAGTGTTCCTGAAGTAGACTCATGCTCAACATGCAGATATCCCTTACTACCATGAATTCTTGTATCGTGCAAGAATGTTTACAATCGGACTGCAGTTCTAAGCTGTAATCAAGAATGATGTCTGCTTTCATGTTAGTCCCTGCAGACCTGGTCCTGAATAAACAAGTGACAAATGAAATTCATTGACCCTCTGAATAATTGAAGGATTAAGAGCATTGCGTACAAGGTTGAGTACAATTCATGACTTGTCTCTTCTAATTGAGGGCAGTTATTAAGAACTGCAAAGGGACTGATTGTTCTCTATTCATGTAGTGACATGACCAGGTTTTTATGTCATCATTAATGTTTGAAGCAGGGAAGGAAATTCCATGTTGTCACTGCACAATGATTTTGAAGGTAGAAATATACAGCTTCAACTCTCCTACTTTTATTAACTCTGATTTCAATGAAAAATTTGTCAGACATGAAATTCCTTGATGTCTGTAGTTGGTAAATAATACAGCAAATGTCACAAACAGAATATGTTTGTATAAAAATCAAGTTTTTAAGATTAAAGTTTTAGTCAAAATGTAGGGGCTCAACTTTTATGCGACCGATATTTTGGAGAGGTAAGAATCCAGCCATTTCCATTGACCCACTGTGGCAGAGTTGCCTGATCAGAGACTGTTTCCATTAGCTCCAGTTCCAAAGAATCCAAAAGTACGTGCACAGACACAAGGAGCTGAACACCTTCCTTTTAATGATGTGCTTTTCTATGATTCTATCAATGAGTAGGTTTTTGCCAAGATGTGTTTGACTTCAGTTGGTACGTACAAAGATTTATTGACTGAAAATTGGAAGCTACCCTAAGGCAATTCCGATGGCATTGTTAATGCTAACTAGGTCATCTGTCTCTTTTGAGCAAGATCTTAACGTCTGAATTCCTCAGTCTTCTGCCACTACTCCCATATCCAAGGAGGAGGATTAAAAGATTGTGGACTTGGCCATCTATATCACTATCCTCATTTCTCAAGTAATGCTGGATGCATCCTATTTAAGCTGATGACTTTTTTTCTTCGAGCGCTCAGCAGTCGTTCTGAGTCCTTCTTTATTTTTAAGCTATGCAGCTATTCTATCCTCCTTATTGTGCAGAATGTTGCAAAGTACACATTTAATTCCTCAAACTGCTGGCAGTCCTAAAAGAAGATCTCCTTTTTGACCCAGTGCTTACACCCTTTCAAGAACAAGTCTTTTAATGTGTAGGGAAGAGGGTCAGGTAGAATGTCAAGATAACGCTGAAGGGACAAGAGTTCAAATCCGTCTTTGGCATTTGGTGGAATTTGAATTCAATTAATAAGCCTAGAATTAAAATTAGCCTAATGACGGCCACAGGCCAGTTCAATTGTCATGAA